ACACTCTTGTGACCCGCTATTTCCGGGGTGCCTTGAAAGTCAAAGCAGACTTTGTGCTGTTAAAGCTAGAGAGATGAGCAGAGTAAGCCCGATTCCCTGTAAAGACTTCTTCGTTGACATCCACCCCTTGGCGCTCATATGACCTTATGCAGTTGCGAGCGCCGTAAAACCTCTACTAAATAAAAAAATAAAAAACTCAAGGTACTCTGGTAATTGTCAGACTCACAGCTTATCAAAGTATTGACTATGTATTTTCCAAAGGTCTTTTATTTTTATTTCAGCAACAATGTAAGCGTCAGATTGCAAACAATGTCTCTCTCGTGTGTATAAGTTATTGAAGCGTGCCACTTTCTTGTCAGATTGCAAACAATGTCTCTCTCGTGTGTATAAGTTATTGAAGCGTGCCACTTTCTTGTCAGATTGCAAACAATGTCTCTCTCGTGTGTATAAGTTATTGGAGCGTGCCACTTTCTTCTTTCCTGTCCTTCTGTTGCTTTGTGTCTGCCAGTGTTGCTCTTTTCCTGTACAAAGTGAGTGGTAGCGTGTTGAGATGCATCTCTTTGCTCAAACCAACAAACAAATCTTGTTCTTTTCTCTGATTTTCTTTGTATGTTACTATCTTGTCGCTTCTCTAATCTTCAGCAGTTTTTAAACCAATTTGTGCTGCAAGTGCTGTGAAACACTCTACTTAGTGGGTGGTTGGCGGGTGCTTTGGTGTGATTTGCTCCTTCTTTCCTATCAAACATCTGTCATCCTGATCTCTCCTCCTTCTTTGTGTTTGTTACTGTCTTGTTACACCTCAATTCTTCGGCACTTGTATGACCTTATTGAGTTGCAAGTGCGGGCCGCAAATTTCTTACTAAAACTAAACCTATTTGTGTTACAAGTGCTGTAAAAATTTGTTTACTCAAACCGACACACACGTGTTCCCCAGATTGTGCGCCACACGGCCAAGAACCTGTTTGTCCTGTTTACCCGTTGGGGCCGCATCGGCAGCCGGGGCCAGTACCAGCACACACCCTTCCAGAGCCTGGCCGAGGCAGCCAAAGAGTTCTGTAAGATCTACAAGTCCAAGACAGCCAACGACTGGTACCAGACCACCAAGTGAGACGCCTGTCTCTCTCTCTCTCTCTCTCTATATATATATCTATCTCTCTCTCTCTCTCTCTATCTCTATCTCTCTCTGCCTCGGCCTCTCTCTCTTTCTCCTCTGTCTGTCTGTATCTCTCTCTGTTTGTCTCTCTCTCTCTCTCTCTCTCTGTCTGTCTGTCTGTCTGTCTGTCTGTTTCTCTCTCTCTCTCTCACTCTCTCTCCCTCTCTTTCCCTCTCTTTCCCTCTCTCTCCCTCTCTTTCCCTCTCTCTCCCTCTCTCTCAAAACTACTGCTTTGATAAACAGCAGTGCTGGCTAGATGCATACATATTATTACCTTTGGCAGATGAGTAGAAATGAGACTTATATTTCCCATTGAAGTTTACTTTAATTTCTCTGTTTGGTCTTTCTGTGAGCCTTAGTTTCGCGCATGCAGCCTCGAGTGTGGGTGTCAATGTACGGTTACGTTTTGGACAACGTGCCATTTCCCTTGCAATTTCTGTATTAATGGAGCGGATGTCATAGAGGTTCCTGGTGTAGCCCTTAGGCTCTCTGCCTTTGCTCATGGAGTACATGAGTTTGATTCCACAGTGGGAGGGATTGTTTTAAAATTGAGTATCTCTGTCAGGGATGTATCCCACACAGTCTGGGTTGGTCTTGTCAGCAGGGTTGAAGTAGCCTGCTTCTGAAATGTTCTAAATCTTGGAGGGGGGGAGGGGAGGGAGTGTAACTATTAAAATTACAATGACTTAATGCATGATGTGTTCTCTGTGCACCTCACACACACTCACACATACGTGGGTGGTTGGCAGGTGCTCTGGTGTAGTTTGCTTCTTCTTTCCTATCAAACATTTATTGTCCCTATCTCTCCTTCTTTTTTAATGTTTGTTACTGTCTTGTAACACCTCTAATCTTCTGGCGCTCATATGACCTTATGCAGTTGCGAGCGAAGAAAAACCTCTACTAAAACTAAAACACACACACACACACACACACTCTCTCTCTCTCTCTCTCTCTCTCTCTCTCTCTCTCTCTCTCTCTCTCTCTAGAACAACTCCCCCCCGGAAAAAAACATTAAAAAAATAATAAAATAATGGATATAATGTCTCCATGGGGGAAGTATATCACTGACAATTCCACTTCCATGTCTGGCTGTATATTTATGCTCTGTGTGTGTGCGCACACATACGCGTGTGTGTGTATTTGTATGTGTGTGTGTTCACGCTGCTGTTTGTGGCCCTCAGGTTCCAGAACCATCCCAAGAAGTACCGGCTGATGCCCCGCGTGGAGAAGCAGCGCCTGAAGCATCACAAGGTGGAGCTGAGTCTGGACACATCGCTGGCCAGCGGGCTGCCCGAGGCTGTGCTTGACCTGGTCACTGAGATTGTGAGTCACGCCTGTTGTTATCTCCACTTAGAAGCACATTTCTGTGGGTGGTTGGCAGGTGCTCTGGTGTGGTTTGCTCCTTCTTTCCTATCAAAAGGTATTATCCTTCTCTCTCCTCCTCCTTTTGTGTGTTTCTTTCTCTCCTGTAACACCTCTAGTCTTCAGCACTTATATGACCTTATTGTGTTTGCAAGATCTGTGAAACGTAAGTCCCTCAAAAAATGAAAATTTGCAGTTTCCAAGGAGCTTAGTTTTGGAAATTGCAAAACTTTGGCTGCTGTTTTCTCGCTAATTTTAATCTGTGACGCACAGCGACCCCCACCTCCTTCAATCGCAGATATCTAGGCTTTTATTAAAGTTAGAGATGTTTGTTGTTTGTTTTTTTCCATCAAAAGCAAGACAAACAAACAAGTTTTATGATTTGACCAATTTCTCTGCCTGCCCCAAAAATGGTGAAGTGCCTGATTCCAGCGTGTAGTGACACAGTTGTTTCTTTTTTACCTCCCCAGAGCAACGTAAGCATGTTCGAGGCCTCCATCAACAAAGTGGGTCTGGACACGGAGCTCATGCCCTTTGGCCGGATGAACCGCGAGACACTGCTGGAGGCTCGCAGAGTGCTCACTGACATCAGGTACGCTTTTCTTTGTCTTGTCTTCTTCTTTCTTCTTCCATCTCCTCATTCCTTTGGTCTCCATTCTTCCATCTCCTCATTCCTTTGGTCTCCATTCTTCCATCTCCTCATTCCTTCCTTTTTCATTCCTTCCTTCTTTTTTCTTCATCATTCCTTCTTTCTTTTTTTCTTCAATATTCCTTCTTTCTTCTTCCTCCTCCTCTTTCCCTTGGTCTACATTCTTCCTTCACCCTCCTTCGTTCCTCCCCCTCTTTATTCCTTCTTCCTCTTACCTTCACAATGATTTATCTGTGATCTGTAAAGACTTTTCTACTCACACAAATACCAACTCCGTATTGGTACTGTTAGTCATGTTTTTCTTTCTACAGTAGAGACATCTGTGGTATTAGACCTTGGCAAAAGACATGGCTTCTGTTCTTGTGTGGGGAAGTTTATTTTTTTAATCAAGTATGTGTGTGTCTGCTGGGTTGTTGTATCCCACTCAACCTGCGTTGACAGTGGAAGGCTGGGTTGTTGTATCCACTCTACCTGCGTTGACAGTGGAAGGCTGGGTTGTTGTATTCACTCAACCTGCGTTGACAGTGGAAGGCTGGGTTGTTGTATCTCACTCAACCTGCGTTGACAGTGGAAGGCTGGGTTGTTGTATCTATCTCAACCTGCGTTGACAGTGGAAGGCTGGGTTGTTGTATTCACTCAACCTGCGTTGACAGTGGAAGGCTGGGTTGTTGTATCTCACTCAACCTGCGTTGACAGTGGAAGGCTGGGTTGTTGTATCTATCTCAACCTGCGTTGACAGTGGAAGGCTGGGTTGTTGTATTCACTCATCCTGCATTGACAGTGGAAGGCTGGGGTGA